GCAGCGAGTATAGTGGGGGAATTAAGGCAACGTGGTTCAACAGCTCTCGACCTTGACCATTCAGACAGAGATGTAGAGGCAGAAGCTGAGGACTGTAATTTTTTTGAAGTCACACTTCTTGACTCCAAAGGTGACACATGACACCTGACAGGTTAGACTACATTAAGATTCAAAAGGCAGGAGCAATCAACGCAGGGATATATATCACAGGGAGGAGTTTTATGTTGCATAGCATTAGGAAAGATTTTGTGAGACGGGTGCCACAAAGGTTTTGCTGGTAAGAAATACTGGGCCCATCAAAGCAGACAAGCAGGACATCTCAGTACACAGACTGTAGTCTCTGACCTAAATCAAGCACACTACACACTGTAAAATACCAGATTCCCCTTCTATCAGTATCATACAAAGCCCCACATTGGATCATAGACTCAGTTAAACCAAAAAGACTGCGTGTAAACTACTGGAAGCAAGACAGGATCCGCTCTCTGCACTGATAGATGGGACAGCAGATTTGAGGTCAGCTAAACAAGACAATGACAACATGCCTCCAAGCGAGAGAGAGTAAATACTTTCTGCTCCTCCTCTTCTACGTCAAAGCCCTCTCAGCTTTCCATCAACCATCCTTGCCTTGATTTAGTCCTCTCCTCTCTGTCGTTTTCCCCCTCTTCCTTCTTCCTTCTCCCTCTGCTGTAACAACCTGGCCATTACCCCACAACTCATCCCTCACGCCTACCCAGGATCTGTCACATTGCTGTTTCCAAGACAACAGAAACGCAGAAACAGCAGGGTGAGATGCCCAGTGAGACAAGCCAAACAGATATCAGGGAGAGGGGGAGCATTGTGTCATGAATGCACTGATGATATTTAACATGGTGTATGACGAATAAAGTCACATGGTTAGAAAAAAAAAAGTGGCGTTCTCTGTAATTCTCACATTTTTGAGTGGAAAATTTTACATCTCTACTATTAATTTTAAACAGTTAAAAAGTCAGTGTAGCCAAAGATTAACACACGGCTTTAGGTAGTCAGACAAGAAAAATACTTCATCTAAAGCAAAGAATCATCTCAAAAAAAAGGAATGCTAGAATTAAACCACAGACCCAGTCCTTTTTATACCAACCAGCGAGCACTGGATGTTGTCATTTGACACTGCTTTTACATACACAGCACCCTAAGTAAGCCAGTAAGATATTAAAGAGCCTGTGTGAGGCTGAGGGCGACGTAATGGTGGTTTAAAGAGGTGGTCATACTAAGAACTGTGAGACAGAGATGTCATTCTCCATCCTGGATCAAATGAGTCAACGTTAGCAGAGCAAAGTGTGCGGGAACATGAGCAGTGGTGTAGTTTACAAAATAAATAAGTTTAAGAAGGGGAAAACTGCACTTCTTAAAGATCAATCTACACTTTAAAATTAGAAATTTGTTAGAGATCAATGAATCATTACAGTAAATCTTGAAAATCCAACCTGTAGTTAAAACTCAAGGACTGGAAAGTATTAATTTGGCCAACCAAACCTTCAATAATACTTGATTATACTTAGTCAGATTAAAAGTTAAGAATTAGGCATAAATTTCCCATGTTTCTATTAAAGAATTCAGAAATACTTTAAACTAGTTTTAAGCAAATGTGGATCTTTTGTGGACCAAATTACTCATTTGCAGTCCTAAATATCATGACAATACATGACCAGCAGGAAATTACATCAATGTTGTCAAACAAGCCAAAGACAAACTTCTGATGTAATTCTAATTGTAAAAGAAAATTTCTTTGAGAGACTCCCATAAATCAATACAAAGCAAAAACATAATTCACATTGTAGTTACCAGGGCTGTAGCAGTCTCATTTAACACTGGTCCTACAGTGACAGAAAGCCACTAAAGTGATGGCAGTGCATGCGGCAGAACAAGGTCCAAATGATTACAGTATCACTCATGTGACGCAACAGAGGCAGCTATCACAGGGCAAAAGTCAGCGATTACAAGACGATGTGTTTGTCTGTAAATGCACTGGAACAAAATACTTTGTTTCAAAAAAAGCATATGAGCAGACTAAGAACTGAACTGGCAACAACAAAGACCACAATAGTGCACAGTGGTATTTTGTTTTTAAAAAAATGCAAGGATTTAGGAGAGTCAGGTGGAGAAAAGGGGGGAATCAGTCAGGAAGAGAAAGGAGATGAAGATGAAGGCGAAAAAAATGTCAAATGTCTCTTTCATACAACATGTTACATGAAGTATGCAGATTTCAATCCCTTTCTTCAAAGGCTTGTCCCCAAACAAAATAAAACGAAAGGTAATATCATGCCAAATACCATTATGTAGATGAACTGCAGGGGTAATCCCGAAAAAGAGGAGAATCCACACCTTATTTCTTTTTTAATATCAACTGTGGAAAATTGAAAAAAAATGCATTCCTTGAGTACACACTTCACACCGTCAAGGTGAATGCATGTCAACAGTTGGAAGAAAAACATGTCATTTAGTGAGATAATGTTTCTCAGTAGCCTAACAGGCCTAACACACCAAGAGAAAAAAAAAACAGAACACATGCTTTATTGGAGTGTTATATATTTTCTTGGTAACACACAACTCATATGCTTTTGTATGCCCATCCAGTGCTTTTTCAATATAAAAATGACATTTGTTCAGGAAGTTTAGTAGGAACATCTTGTCTTGTCTTTCGGGAACTAAGTGTTTGGTTAAAAACAAAGTCTTTCACTCCACGTATAACAACTCCCTGAGATAATGAGGGTGGTTAACAGATAACACATGCATACATAGTTGGAATTAATACTTTAGCTTTATGCTAATGGTTATTCACACTGTGTGGGATTAATTTAAAGCATAAGGCACAGACCAGCATGGTATTTTGGTGGTTCTTTGGAGGTTGCTGTGCGTATGGGCTAATCTGACTTATATATGTCACATCTCATTGTCCTGAAAAGTGCTGAAGCCAAATCACAGCTGAACAGCATGGCATGTTAGATTTCATATCAGTGACATGGCTCAAATGTTATGCACCATCAGGTGGGCCGGGTGACGCAACAGAGAGAGACTGCTCAACTGGTTCTACGGGATGCGTTTCTCAAGCATGACTGCGAGCAGCGCTGACAATCGCTTGAAATGGCGCAAGCTGTCTGCCTGTATAGTCCTGAATCAGTCAAGCAAGAGAGAGGCTTTATAGAAGCAGAGCAGTGCACTCTGAAAGGCCGCACAAAAAAGCAACACAGGAACGAGTCGACACCCCCACCCCCGTTGGAGCTGCATTCCTACATACTGCATTAGTGCATGCAATGTTCACACAGAACTCTATGTCCTTAAAGAAGGAGAAGGTAGAAAGCCCTTTTCCACCAAAAATCACAGCTCTCACTACCTCCCATGTAGAGGAGGCTAAGGATGCAGTCTGTTTGAGATGTTCTCACGTTTAAAATTTTTAAAATCCTAAAAAATCTTTACCTGCTATTCAGTTTTAGCTTGTTTGTTTTTTTACCCACAAAGTAAAATAATAGATTTAGTTTGAGAATGTCCACTAATCTCAAAACCATCTCAACAGCTTTGTGAGGCTAATAATTACTTTACTTAAGACCCCCATAGTTTTTCTTTTAGGAGTTTAATCAACTGCATTCAAATGTTCTGCACCTGTGATATGTGTAATGACAATGAGTTGAATCTAAAATCTAAACTTTGACAATTGTTAGTTTTGCTCCTCCAACATACTAGTTTGGTAAATATCTAGACATTGCAACTTCATGCAGAACAGATGGACACAGGGAAAATACAGGCATATATTAACAAGAAAATTACACGTGCATATGTTCAGTCTCTGTGAATTCCCAGCCTGGGATCAATAAAGTCTACCTGCATATTAAAACAAAAACAAAAACACGACAACTAACAACCATGGTCTCCAGTATAACATCACTATGTGTATTTTTTGTCTGTTACATTTCCATAAATGTCCAAGATAAATGCCCTCATAGGTCATTATCTCTGCTCAACAGCGAGCAGACACTCAGAAGACCATGACTTTAAACCAATCCGGCTTAAAAGCTGTTTTGTTGTTGTTGTTGTTGTATACCTGCTTAGTAGAAGACTTGAGATCTGACTGTATTTGAACTGAACGACGTCTACTCTGATGCGTGTTGCATCAATGTTGATTTTTTTATTAGGATATTTTTGCATACTCTACCTTTAATGAGGCACCGAACAACTATGTTGACACATACCAAATTCAAATGCCAATTTAAGTATCGTCCTAGTAATAAGTGACGTAGACCATCACAATCTTTCATAAGCAACTTTCAGAATACTTGTCCTAATATTAAAAAAAACTTCAGCACATAAATCGCTGACACTGAGGCTTGGCTGCTAACTGGTCTGTTATCAGGCGAGAGCACCAGCTGAGCCAAACAGCAGAGAAACACATTAGTTCAGCAGAAAAATAAAGGAGACACGAGAGCGCTCCTTTCTTCCTGAGTAAATACACATTTAACAACTTACCCAAACTCTCACAATTCCGCCTAAACACATTCCGTGAACTGCCCCGAGTCCTGACTCGTTATTTTGTAAGAAACAGCAGGGACAGGCTCTCGGCTACACTGCTAACATGCTAACTCCACTGGCGAACTTCGCCCGGTGTTGTGTGTCCAACCTCCCGCACACTCAGCACAAAAAAACACAATGACATGTAAAAGTGCCGTGCACGCTTTGTCTCACTTTGCTTTAAACATACCAGCAGCGACACCCGCTACTGATCTAAACCCCTTTCGGTTAACATTGCACTAACTGCTGTGTGCTTTGACTTCGCTGCAGAAGAATCACTATTGACACAAGCAGCGAGATTAGCCACGAAGCTAACGCCGTGCTAATCAGCTAACGCCAGTGCCAGAGACACAGACAGACACACAACCGAGATTGAACAGCTCTCCGGCGGATTTAAAGCCCCCTCCAAAACATGCCGGTGTCCGTCTTCACACGGCCAAAAACGTGTGGGTACTTACGAGTGAATACTTTCTGCCGTGTCCCTCGCTGTTAAATCCTCTTACTCAGCAGCGGCTCTGACCTTCGCGGCAGTGAAACAACATTAGTGCTGGCTAACTGAGCCGCCATGTTCCTCCTCCTGCTCTGCAAACCAATACTGACTGTTTATCCGCTGCTCTGCTGCTGCTGTTAGTGCCGTTCGTGTTTCCTCCCCCACACTAGAACAGAACACAGCACATCACGGGAATCCTGCTCTATCAGCTCACTCACTCCCTCGCTTACAGCCAGGGTTCGTGAGCAAACCTACTCTATGTGTGTGTGTTTTCTTTTTCATTTTACCTGTTAGGAGAAGCCCACTGTCCACACACGGAGACACTCACACGTTGACTCTGCAGCACCAACATTAACAGCTGCTAATAGGAAGGAAACAAAAAAACAAAACACAAAACAGCGAGTCACGAACGTCACTGGTGCGGAAAACATTGTGGCCCCATAAGAAAAACATTGGACTTCAGATAACCTTCTCAGAACATTTTAGATAAAAGTAAGAATTACAAAAATGAAGTGGAACTTCTGTTCTCTGAATAATATATAACTGAATTGGTGGATTATATATGTCGGAATTTTTGCTCTGATATCACAAATTGAACAAGTTCTCGGATTTTCCAATGACATTAATACAATTGAAAAACGATTCCTTTACTGAAAGCTTACGCTAGTTTCATTTGTTATACCATGAATGATTTTAAACTGTAAATTCTGACTTATTTATTTTACCATAAAGATAACAAGATGAAAAAATATGTACGTCAGCATCATAATTTTGACTTAAAATATCAGAATTCTGAGTAAATCAGAGTTTGTTGCGCGTTGAATTGAACAGCTTCAACGATTTTAAATCCCAAATTGTAGGATATGGTTAGATTTTTCAAATAGAATTTTGAGGAAATCTCTTAATCCTGAGGTAAAGAGTCAACATTTCTCCACAGAATTCGAAGAAGTCAGATTTTGGTCTAATAAATCTCTACTTACCTCCTGTCTCAAACCTGATCCTATTGTTGACCTTGTTAATCTTAGCTTTTTACTCCTACTTAAAAAAAAATAAATAAAAAAAATTCACCTGACACTCTTAAACCATCACCTCCACCGTGAGTGGACCCAACCTCAAACCACTGTGTGTGTGTATTTAAGGTAATAAAGATTTATGTCAGCCTATAAAATAAAAGGCTGCTGTAAGAACTGGGAAGCAGATAAAAATCTGGCAGTGTGGATGTGGCGAATTGTCCCTTTAATAACTTCAATTAAATCTGTGGAGTCGTTAATTTTAACGCAATACAACATTCATGTAACACATTCATGTAACGCAGTAAAAACTAACGGTAAAAGGGCGGATGTGTATTTATTATTATTTTGTTTTTAAATCAGCATTAGTTTTTTTGGCTTCAATTTCAATTCAGTAATAAATTGTACAACATTTTAAAATGTTTTTTAAATACGAGAACTCACTACGTCAAACTTATTTTGTACCTTTGTTCAAAATGCTGATGAACTATCAGCTGATCGAAAGCGAATGGAGCAGGCGACCGTTAAAAAATGAACAACAACGACGCCAAGTGGCCATCAGATAGAATTACAGCACAGTGGTGCTAAACTGTAGTCGCTACATCCCACTCATCAAAGAAATATAGTTTCTTGCCATTTACATTTCTTAAATATTTCAGTAATTAAATATTTACCAAATCAGCATATAGTTTACAAATCACAACGTAGATCTATTTTTTATTACTAAATACTGGTGCTTTGTAAGATGAAAGATGCCAAACCAAATCCCAAATCTGTATTTTTATAAACTGTGAGAGTAAACAAGAATTTCACTCTGGGAACATGCAACAGTAGTAAAGAACGTCCACTGTCCTAGCCATGACAAAAAACACCGACCCTGAGGAGATTTGTCAAGTACAGACAGCAATAGAAATATCCAATAACTGAACTAAGTCTTTTTTCCCCAATAGAACATTTTATTCTGTTACAGTATGGATAAACCCTCAGGACCAAATAAAACCAACAACAACCTCTGATCTACTGCCACAGGCAAGAATGACTCACTGCTCTGCACATAAATTTAGCAAATTGGTTTCTTCTTCAGAACCAGACGGCTGATTGATTCTTACAACTGCTTTGTAAATTTGTTTCATGGCATGTGAGCACAAAGGCATTTATCAACAGTCAGTCAGCCTCATTTGGCCGCGTCCAGAGAGGGTGAGAGAGCCATGCATCCCAGTCTGATGCTGTCGCTACAAATCACTCCCCTGGACATTTTAAGGTAAGCTGTAATAAACAGGGTGGCACAGACACAACAGAGACATTTCACTTTAACACACAAGGTCCAATCAAAGCGGCAGTGATGTCTGATTGGGTCCTAGGTTGGAGGAAACAAAGGTAAAAGGTGAAAACGGCTCCAGATGAAGCCCCGCCCCCTTACAAATGTGATCTGCTTGGATTACACAACTCTTCTTAAGTCCAGTTATTTCACCCTGAACTTTCGCTGTGTGTTTAAAATATGTTGAGTGACCTTCCTTCACTGCTACTGTCCTCCTCTAGGGGTTTTGAACAGTCAATAAGGCTGAACTCCCACCAGATCTTAGTGAGACGGTTATGGGAAGATGGTTGGACAAACGCCTGCCATTGAAAAGTGAGGCACGACAAGAAAATGAATACAATTAGAGGAAGACAGAAAAAAGAAAAGTCAGGTGAGATATAAAGAAAATGAATACAATTAGAGGAAGATAGAAAAAAGAAAAGTCAGGTGAGATATAGATTTAAATGCAAGAAAAATAATTGAAACACAACATGAGCTGGAATATACACAGTATCTTGGTAAAGCATAACCTGGCAGAAACACGCAACACTGAAGTCATCGTTCTTGAAATCTTAAAATTAACACACCTTATACATAACAATCGGTTTCAATAGGCACTTTTTAAATAACTGTCACTTTTGTTTTTCAATTGTTTTTTTTCTTCATTTTTTTTCTCTGAATTGTAAATGGCACAGAGGAGTGATGGTTTGTCAAACTGAAGCGTGCCGGACGACTGGCGCAAGCAGAGCTAAATGTGTTCCGTGCCCTTGAAAGTCCAGCGGGGAGGGAGACGTCCCTGTGAGGGAGAGACGCAGGGTGGGAGAAGAAAATATAATGATGGTGGGGGTGGAGGGTCCATCAGTCGGGCACTGACGTCATCGACACAGGACTGGCGGTTCTGTGAGGAGGGGATGAGGGAATGTGTTTATGACGACTTCTCCTTTCTCGCTTTTGGTGATTCCGTTCCATGGTTCACGCCGTTCACACCATTGACTGATGACAAAGAACACATCAAGTTAGAATAGAAGACGGACCAGAAATGGGTCAGACAACTTTAATAAAACTTTCTTTAAGTTTTTGAAAGTCAGACACGTCTTCATTCTCCTCTCTGTGGTTTTTACCCTTAATAACTCTATAAACTATTCAACATCGTATTTCGACGTTTTTGTAATTTGAAGAAAACGTGGTCTTTTTATTTAATTTGCACAGATTTTATTGTTGTTTATTTTTTCCTCCCTGACCTGTGACCAAATTACCACTGTCACATACTGGTCCAGGACCCACTGGTTGGGAACCTCAGGACAAAAATTGATTTTTAGCCTAAAAATAATGACCAAACTCAGTATATGGAGATGAAAAACAAAAATATGTTTTCAACAAGAGAAACATCGGTAGTTTTTTGCACTATATTGGTTTGAAGCATGGTGCAGCAGTAGCGATCAGTTGGAATGGTAACTGTGCCCTCTTGTGGCTGTAGATGATATGTTTTTTCATGTGATTTTTTTCATGTAGCCAGTCAAACTGAAAAAAGGGCTACCAACAGCCAGGTAAACACGGCACAGGCTCAAAACCAACATAAATCCCCCCCTATATTTTTACTTACTGTGCTTTACACTGTTTTAACTTTGAGATACCCAGCATCCTTTGTGGTTATGGAGTTGAAACAAACTATTGATCTTGATCTTGTGGCCAAAACATTAGCTGACATCACTAAAGCTCCCCCTGGTTACAGGCCAGATAGCACCTGTCAGTTTGTAGTGAGTGATAACTAATAAGAACTTGATATCATGGTATATTTATATGTGTTTGTTTCCCCTCACAGACTGTGTTCCTTGGGTGATGGAGCTCTCCCTTCCTTTTCAACAAATTTTAAAATAGAAATCTGACCACATGCTTATCATGGAATTTCTTTTTGCAACCTTTAATTCTCTCAACCTTGTTTGTTCATAAACGTTATGAGCTACGTTTTTTTGCCAAGGAAATTTTTTTTGTAGAGGGCTTAAATTTAGTGCCTGGGACTTTCCACATTAATTCTTAGTGAAGCAGTGACCCCCCTGTGCCCCTGCTGCCTTGTCCCCTCACCTCTGTCTTTCTTTGGTTTGTTCTTGGATGGAGCTTGTTTCTTTTTCAAGGTCTGCGCCTGGGCGTGCTCTCTCCACCGACGCAGCTGGAAGTTGATAAATTTCCACATCATGAAGGCCTGAGTGAGGCAGATGGCAGCCAGGACAGTTATCCTGAAGACAGAAAAGAGAAGGAAAGAGTCAAAAGGACATCTCACCCTGACACACTGGGCCGAAGGGGGAAACGACCCAGAGAGGTTTGGCATTTGCAGTGGTTGACAAGTTCAGATCAGAAAGAGAGTAAAAACTCCCACTTCTCTTCACACTGGGCTTTTGTTTTGTTTTTTTAAACTTTCTTTATTAAAGAGGATTTCTCTTTTTAAGCAGTGACTCTGTTTGAGATTGTGGTAAAAAAAAAAAAGTGTACTTACCGCACAAACAGAATATTAAAGTTTCCTGCAGACAAATCAAAGCCTTGAGTCTCAGTGTTGGCGAGGCCAAAGCCCACGGTGAGGACGGACAAGGACAGGGTGAGCAGCCGTGCCAGCACAAACAGCACGGCCCATATGGTGAAACTGGAAGACAAGGAACAAAGATCATGATTTCTTATCAACAGGAATTCTTGATAAAAAATACAAACAACATGTAGAGCTGTCACTTTGACCGAAAGTTGATGTTGACAAACTACAACCTTCGTTTCTACTCCTTGATCCACAGCGTTTTATTATGCACATTTAAACTGAATTTTGAACTGAATATTTGTACTTTAGAATTTACCCCATTTGTCTGTTCTCATTGCTGAAGTAAACCAGACGGGACACATGGAAGAGCAACTCTATGAAGTAGTGCAGCACCAGCAGGACCAGACAAAGACGGTTCAGGCTGAAAAACAACAGGAAGAGATTGTTTTTTTGTAACAGGAAAGAAACAGATGAATTTACTTTTGTGTAGCAGCAGCTCTTACTTGAGAATGTAGGCGCCTGCGATGTGGACCAGGTAGAGGGAGATGTAGACAAGTTGACGTGGGATGTCCTCCTGAGCAGTAAACACAAGCATCGTCAGGGCAAAAATATTTACAGCAGTGTGGCTGCGCATGTGGAATTAAACTGAAGGAGGACAATTGTTTGGAGCAAATCAACAAAACTGAGGAGGGCAAACAGGAAGGAGCCTCAGAGTTGTGGACAAAAGCAGGAGAAAGTCGTGTTATTCCCACGTATGGTGCTGAAACTTGCCTTCTTTGTTTTCTGGAAGTAGAGCTCTGGGAGAGCGTGGAGCCAGTAACTGAGCTGACAAATGAAGTAGAACTTCATCTGGAATCTGAAAAAGGAACAGGATTAAAACATAAAGAAATTCAACTCATGTACCATGTGATGCTTTAGGCAACTGTTACCTTTTAGGCTAAGCTTTAGCTATGCTGTTGTCTTTTTATTTTTTCTCATTGAAATACATTTTGGATCATTTTCAGAGAACTATTTACATATATTTATCCTTAACAAACATGGAGCTACAACACTCACAATGTATTTCTTCTTAAATAACTATAAGCCACTTTTGTAACTTTATTTACAAAGGTCATACTGCTTATGCTTATGCACAATAACTGCAGGCTAACATTCAGCACATTTGAGCTACGCTATCCTGAGTGTATGTTATACAGCAACTATTATATCAACGTTTTTTTGGTTTACTAGCAAAGAGTACAGGGCACTACTATTATATAAAAAAAAAATCAGTGAATTCTTTTGAGAACATGTCAACTTACGGCATCAGTGTGTGAGGATAGCCCTCCCATAGTGTGACTGGATTGGACAGGAAATTTTCCTAAGAACAAAGTGGAATCACAGTTACACTAAGGCACCATTTTCTTAAGTGTTTTGATGACGTCTGCAAACAAAAGCGAAAGCTCATACAGAGAGCAGGATGCTTGCACCCCAGCCGAAAGAGAAGAAGTAGAAGGCACTGAGTTGTCCTGACTCGTTAAATTTACTGTGTTTGGTTTTGGAGAAGTGCTTCTTCCTGTTGATTTTCTACAAAGGAAGAGGAAGAAAATAAAATTGAGTGTTAACGGTGCAGAACTCTCCACCAACTGATGAAAAGGCTGAATGTGAATGCGCTGCGTTTCCCTGACTCACATCGAGCACATACTCCTGGATGATGGCGTGCATGATGATGGCCACCAGCATGTAGAAGAAGACAGTGGCCAAGTCCTTGATGCCGTGGTGGAAGTGGTTGACAGCTGTCTCCTCTGGGCCTTCTGCAGTCAGAAACACGAGTCATGCAGAGTCATGGTGTGGACCAGAGGGCAATAAAAAAAAGACAAAAATAAACCACTTCTGTTTTAGATAAGCTGCCAAACACACAAAAGAACCTGAAGAGTTTCACTAACAGTCAAGACATTTAATGTGAGGCAAAATAAGGTTTTAAGGATTTTCTTTGGCAATTGTTTTTATATCATACAAAGAAAATTACAAAACAAATGATACTGAATTATGAAAACTGTAAAAAGTAACATATGTGAACTGAATTATTCTAATTACATGGACACATGTAGACTTATTGTGAAAATAATAATTACAACAATTGTCGTTATTATTATAACAATAACCACAATACTAATAATGATAATAATTATTATTATTACTATATATTATTATAATAATAATTTTATGTTAAACATAATTTTAAACACAAAAATCATATAAGTTATTATTGTTATCATTATTATTATTAAGAAAATTCCAATCAAAAACATTAGTTAGGATATGATGTCTAACATATGGAAAATAACCTCTTGGAAAACATGTGCAAAATAAGTCATTTATGTCTGTTAACTAAAGTGACAAATTCATTAAAATAATTAAAATATTTATATTAATTTGACAGTTTCATTAGCCACAACATGATATAATTAAATTCCCCCAATTTGTTAATGTCCATGAAATCAGACACATTAAATGGTATTTAAAGAAAAGAGTAACTGCAGCCAGTTGTTTATGACCAGTAAAATGAACAAACTGATTCATCCAAAAACAGCTTGTACCTCAATCAAAATGATGGGCATTTAACTGCGAACAAGTTGTAAATAACTGATGGTGGTTGATTAGGCAAAGTCTGCACTACAAAGAAACCAGTGTGATCAGCCTCTGAATGTCTACAGTCTGGGAGTGAGCTGCAGCACAGACTGATGAGCACTTATTGGTAAACAGATAACAGTTCTTAGTTCAAGGTTTGTGGAGCTACATAAAGGCATCAAACCAATCGTTGGCAGAACCATTCACAGATAAAAAAAAACACACACAGATCACGTGAATTTGTCTGAGTGAGTGTAGATGTAGGTTCTACCTGTCATTTGTTCTGTGAGGTACAGGTTGTAAATAAGTGACAGAGGCAGTCTGGAGACAAGGTCTGGTTCAGATAAGGAGTGATTCAGCAGCCTGCTGCTCTCAGAGCCCCAACACCCACAGGAAAATATATAACCTTGAAATGAAAGGGGCTGGGAAATGAGAGGCCTATATTACACCTTAGCCCAAATTTGCCTGGCACAGCCTCAACACCAGAGAACTTTATAAATCAGAGGGACTAAATTTAGCTCTAGAGGGTGAAAAAAAAAAAGAAGAAGCTCTCAAATGAGTTTGTGCACGAACTGCTCCAGAATCTTAATGAGAGGCTTCCAGCAGCACTACTCTGACAGACAGGGTTACAGTACGTGTTACGGTCTGACACATTAACACATGAACCAAAGTGCTGTGTGCATGAATTACAGCCCAGCTTCACTCACCATTTGTTGATATGGTGACGTTGTACTGGACGGTAATGAACAACACTGCAAACTTGGAGGTAACCTGAGGACAGAAAGGGAAATACGTTACACTTGCATTAACTACAATACAAAGAACTGCACAAAATACTTCTATTGATTAAAGCCAAAAAGGCGTTTTTTCTTTAAAATTAAATTCTTGGATTCCATTTTCACAACAATTATTATTATTATTATTGCCAAATTAGCACCGTCTGTCTAAATCTTTAAAACATTTTATGTCACATAGCCACAGCTTGTGCTACCATTGTGTGTTTATACTGTATGTTCTCATAATTCCGTGCTATTTTAAGCAATTTTTTCTCCATTAAAAAACACTCATATGTAGATTATATAAAAATGTTTTAAAATAATGCACAAACACACGTGTGGAAAACTAACTCTTAAGTCTACCTACTGCAGAAAGCCAAGGTTTATCAAATATAGAAATAGCTGGCAATTGTTTAAAGAGAAATGTGGCTCACAAAAGCTGTGATTAAAAATAAAAACACCAAAGAAAAAAAGAAGAAAAAGAAGAAAACGTTTGGCCTATAATCACAGGAACTGCTAAATATAAGCCATAGATTTAATTATTCATATTGTGTCATTGTAAAAAAACAAAACAAAAAACAACTTAAAATAGCTTTTAAACGGAGCAAATAAAAAATGCATTTAAAATTTTAAAAAAGTGTAGTAATTCTGTTTTTGGCGGATAACCAAGGGAAAGTGAAAAAAAACTCGGACGAAACGCTTCTTTAAAAGACCTACGTGGCGTTAGTTTGTTACAAAAATGTTAACGAGAATCATTTGTTAAAGTAATTAGGTTTTCCATATGCAGCCAATGAGACATTTACACATCACCGGTTATTTTACTTTGGAAAACAAAAGAAGGAAGTAGTTTTATTTACGGGGTTACTTGACAGTTTCAATGGCGCTGAAATTCCGGGAATGAAGAAGGAAAAAAAATTGAAGCAACTTTAAGTTAAAGTTTCCTATTGTGCAAAAACAGTCAGTTTTCTTGTATTACAATTGAATTGACACATGTTTTTAGGACCGTGAGCTTTGAGCACATTTGAGTGTGTGTGTAGTTTGAGTGATGACATCCTCTCTTGAGTGTCTGTGTGATTGCCACGTAACACATCTACGCTAAACTAAAGCCAGTCCACAGCAGTTGCACAACATGGATAACCGACTGCATCCACAATGTAACACAAAGAGTCCAACCTGCTGCACAAACACAAACACACACGAGTTACGCGGTGTTTTTTAATGGTCACACTGCGGTTGCGTGGCTGAAATATTTACTAACAGCGTAGGATGCAGTCAGGTGGAAAGAGGACGAAACAGAACAAACCCAAAAAACTGAGAATAAATTTATGTTGTTACGTTGTTTGGATGCTAATGAAACGACACGATGCAAAAAAGTAGCATAATTAAAGGTTCGTATGAAAGTTTAGATCAGGAGAGGAAGTAGTGTGAAGAGAAAGACCAGACAGCCATGTCAGCCAACCACAGGAGTCCGGTCTCGCCGGAACCGTTTTCCACCGCGACCCAGCTCTGGTGCACCATGTGGACTGGACTCACCTCGAACATCAGCCCCAACAGGAACACCATAGCAACACAGGAAACAATGTCTGCATGGTTCTGGATGACAAACTCATGGCTCAGCACAGGCGGGTTCTTGTTCGCCTTTTTTCGGATCCCCATCTCGGCGTGATTCGGTTTAACTTTTCTTCTTCCTCGTTCCAGCGTAGATGCTGTTTTAACTTTGTTTCGCCCTGCAGATGTTTTTTTTATTTTCCCCGTATGTGAGAGATCGCACACACGGTCCCTCGCGACTCGGTCGAGCTCAGGCCAGGCTGCAATTGAATGGCGTGTCACTCTTGTGTAGTGGGAGGGTCCTCGGCAAGACCAACGACTCTCTCTACAAACGGAAGAGCAGACAGAACTGCAGCTCATATCACCACTCACAGGTGAGGAGGACACATGCCACCGTTAGCTTTGGACGGAGGTAAATTGGAACTCCAGTTCCAAAATTTAAATTATAATTTAAATAGTCAAAACTTTCAGAAAAAAAAACTTAACCGGGAATAATAAAAGTTATCATGAAATCTGGCCGTTTTTGGTATTGTTTTACAGTTCACTATTGGTGCAATTCTTTAAAGGTAAAGAATAAATTCTACATTTTAAGATTGATGTCACAATTTAACTTTCACCTTTCTCACTTTTATTAACTTTTGTAAATAACATTTACAGAAAATAATATATTTATTCTTGCTCATCTGGGACGATATATTAAATTGTGACATCAGTCTGGGTACATTTTTGTAAAAAAATATTATTATTATTGTTGTTGTGGGGAGATTTTTCAGGTTCCCACTGAGTGTGGGGATATAATGAGATCCAAGATTTTGTTTTGAGTTAGAATTAACTTTCTTCATCATGTGGGCTAAATTTATAGGCCAAAAATTATATGAAGAATAAATTATTTTCTTAGCCTAGCTGAACAGTGTAGGCCTGTACTGCTGTATGTTGTTGTTGGTCATACTAGTGGTGTCTGGAGAGTAAATATATTTAAATATTATCAGGTGCTACGTGGTGTAAAACATTTCAAGGACATACAGTAGCTGGTAATCACATAAAACAGTAAACAATATAATGTCCAGTTACTGCATTTATGTGATTTTTCAACGATGTCACACAGACTGGACTCATGTGGACTAAACAGAGCTATCATTAGTGCAGCAGTCTGTACTTTGCCTGTTGGAACAGGTTACACTGGGTTTAAAGCAACTACCTTAGGGTAATAATAATACTTAAGGTGCCATAAGCTGCTGTTTACTCCAGATGTACAGAATGAAGCAGTGCACTATGACTGTGTTGAGAAATTGCACAAGTTTAAATCTGGTTACTATGGGATTTAATGTAATTGTATATGTTTTTTAACCATTTGTAAAATAAACAAATGTCTTTGTAAAAAAAAAATCTGAATTGTGTAGTGCATGTGTCTCATGCAGACCAAAGTATTTTCCACAGTGTTACGCCTATTACAGGAAGACCTGTATATGTGTGCGTGCGCGTATGTGAGAGTGTGTGTGTGTGTGACGTCACGTCATTGTTCATCTCACCCACTCAGTTCAACAGTGAGCAGGTGACTTACACAGAATTACACAGTAACATGCCTGAGCATTTGGTCAGCCCACATACAAACATGCACCAGAATACCATATGTGTTACATAACCACACAGCTTCACCGGTTTAAGAATCACTGAGGTGGAGCCAGGCGTGTTATAAGAGAGCAAAAGAAGAGAAGTGCAGGAAGTTGTTTATGCGACTGGAGGACACAGCAATGGATAAAGTGCACTGGTAAGATCACTGTTTGTGTACATTTACTGTATTTATTTTATCATGCTGGTGATGCTTTAAAAGTGACAGTAGCCTTTATCTTAGGTTAAAATTTTAATTGAGTTTCTCAAGAAAATAAATACATACAGTATGTATTGCCACTTGTGAAATAAACTTGATTATTCTAAAAACTTGTAGGTGTTAAAATACCTTATGAAGGTGGCAGTTGTTTATTTTTATATAAGTTATTATTGAAAGGCTTACATAGGAGAACAGAACTAACAGATATCATTATAGACCTTTTCAATATTAAAGTAATTAAATATGTTTCTTTTGCATGTCTTACTGGAATGTCATTGTGTCAGTATAACTTGGTATAATCAAGGGCAGGACTCCACATAATAAAGTCTTTATGATGCAGAACCAAAGGGCAGAAAATGTGCCAACAGCAGCAGCTGACTGCAGAACTGAAACTTCATGCACCTTTTACAAACATTTGCTTCAAACTTGGTCACGTTCGTTATGGTCGTGATTTTGACATTGTTGTCTTGCTTTTACAGATGAACCAAAATGACTCTTCTCCAACAGTCGGAACCAACAGCAGCTTCTCCTTCAGGAACATAAGAGGAAAACGACCTCACTGCTACATTCACCAAACTGGACTCTCAAGTTGAACCCGTCAAATGACCAGATGTTTTATCCAGATTGTCAGTTTACTAAAGTACGATGGTTCCTGACCATTGTTGGACTGGGCCTCTATTTGGTGGATGTTGGAACAGACATAAGCCTGGCTGTGGGGTATTTTCTTGTGGAACAGTATGCCTGGAGTGGACTGACTGTGCTCTTCATTCTGGTTGGACTGCTTGTGACGCAGCTCTTCAGCTATGCCTGGTACCTGGATGATTTGAGAGATGTTCTGATAAACCCTGAAGGAAAAGAAACTGTTGAAAACAAAACAAAAGTGGAGCTGGTTGTCCTGCATGTATGTGGGTTTGGAGTCCTGACCAGGTATGAGAATGAGCAACGAATGCTCACAGACAGAACCCTAACTTTTCCCAATAGGTTTGGCCAGATACAACTGGATGTTTACACAATTAGCCAAAATATCTCATTTTAGCTGAAAGAAAAATAAAAGTTTATGAACTGTCAACCTGTCAAGGTTTTTTTTAAAAATTATTATCTGGTGGGATTTGCTTCAATTCCTTCTAAAGATTAGCAAAGAAAGCTAGTTAACAAATATCAAGTTGTTTTTATTTTTTATTTTTTGAATTTGATATATAAAACCATACAGATCATACATAACTGTAAATTACCCTAGAAATTTAGTGAAAGCTAAGCTAAGAAGAAAGCTCAAATAAACTTAGACTTCAGAAAAGCGAATAAAAAACAGGTTTAAAGGCAGAAGTCACAGGTCACATAATAGCATGTGTCACAATTGGCCTGCAGGCCAGATTAAGAAGAGCTGTTGGCAGAAGTGTCTCTTAATCTCAAAACCTGTAGCATACATAACACAAACAAAAGCGTGGTACTGTAAAAATGTATAAACTGGAAGAACAGCCTCTAAATTAAATTGTATAATCCAAGGAAAAAAGCATTTGAAGTGAACAACAAGAGGAGAGGTGTGATGGTAGCACCCTGTGTGACTGTTTTCATCATGTTTGGTCTGTTGTTATGTTGTTAGGTACAGTCACCTGCTCAGGAGATCTTTTAAAGTGTTGTGGAAACCAACAGACTCATGTACCGTCAAAGACAGAAGGGAAGAGCACCATCGACTCTTTTGCCTGGCTACTGACCTGAGCATGCTCAAACTGTTTGAGTCCTTCCTGGAGAGTACTCCCCAACTACTGTTACAAATGTACATAGTGCTGAAACAGGGAGAATGCTCCTTCATGCAGTGTAAGTTATTACAAAAGGTTTGATCCAGTACAATTTTTTTGTGTGCTGTTATTTAAGATTTGCCACTGCCAGCAAACAAAAAAGACTTTGATATATTTAGTCTAAAACAGACAGTCGTAGCATACAGATTATGAACAGTTTTGCTCAGAATATTGTTACAAGTGCTGTGCAACATGAAGTGTTCTCTCATAAGACATCACTGCACATGTTTAATTTAGGAGAAGCAACGAAACAGGAAACAGTTTGTGTTGTAAAGCACTAGTATTAACATGCTGAGCATAATCAGAGGTAGGTATACATCGATACTGATACTGGTATCAGCAAGTACACAAATTACAATACTTATATCAATTTATAAAAACCTCGGCCCAATGCATGTTTAACTCTATCAATGCCAGACTTCAATGTTTTTTTCTCACCTGTGTAATTGTGTTGCCATTGCTCTCAGATGTATCGATGGGCTGCTCCTTCTTTAACACAGCCTGGGCCCTGGTGGACTATCGACGCTGCCTACGCAGATCCCTCCCTAATATCCACGAGATGCCTTCTGGCCTCCCCACTATCATCTACCTCGTGTACAAGCTCTCCACCATCACCAGCCACATCCTCAGCTACAGCCTCCTCCTCATACTGAGTGTTTACACCACAGTTGGCCTCTGTGTCCTGTGGCTGGTGGGAACCATGTGCACACACCTGTTCAAAACCAACTTCTGCTCATCGAAAAGCCTGGAGCTCATATACCAGGCGGTCATCGGAGTAATCCTCACCTTCACCTTTTTCAACATCAAGGGGAGAGACACCAGAATAGTCATGACCATTTACTACTTTTTCCACTCTCTCGTTAACATCACGGCTCCTTTGCTGCTTATGTACCTGAGGCCAGAGATAAAGTCTGTGATGCTTTTGCTGCCGGTGGTTTATGCAGGTCTGTTGTTGGGACTAATCAGCCTTATACTATATTACCTCTACCTGCATCCCAGGGGGAAGTGGTTTGATGCAGATGAAGTGGACGGTCTGGGAAGGGAGACAGAAGCCATGAGGAGAATGAGAGCCTTTCTACAACCTTGATGACCTTGCTTTATTTCTAATTTTAAATGCACTAGTGTTTAATTTATGGTTAATTATGCACTTTATAAATCAGATGGCTATAATCCTGTACAGAGTGTATCATCTTTTAATTTATTCATTCATTTTCTACGGTTCACCTGGACAACTGACCAACCCTATACCAACTCTAGGATCAACTTCACTTAATTATCAGTAACTCCAATCAAAATTTTACACAGATAGCAAACAGGTATATTTTATACAGTGCCAACCAAAAAAGGAGCTATATTTATATATATATTTAAAAACGGCCAACAAATAAATAAATAAAACATTTTATAATAGTTTCCAGGTTTAGTAGATGCTTGTACAGACAGTTTTGTTGTTAAACGTCTGATAAGATGTTTTGCACTATCATCAGATATTTGCCTTCAGACTATTTTCAAGTATTCACGGTCCTTCAAGCCAGCCGGCATGCCTACATTATGTATAAAAAACTGTATATTAAAAGTATATTAAGCAGTTACTAATGAACATTTGTTTATTTGTTTCTTTCAAATATCAGCTTGTACGAGGAAGTTAATTCACGTTTTCTTTGGGAAACTATGATATTCATCTGTTTATTCTAAAGATCAGCTAGAATACACTCAACACACCCGGTTCTGCAGGTTTTTTAAACTGGTGTTTGTTTTTTTCCACAGTAATTATTACTCACCCTGTCCGATAGGTGTAACTGCTTTACCAAGCATGTATTACAGATAAACACAGGGTGGCGCCATTGTCTAGTCTGATTTTTGTACAGAGGTCCCAAGTACTGTAGACTATGACTAAATTTAATAAAACACGACGATTTTGAACATGTTACAAATTCAAATGAAAACCTTATTTGTTTTTTGTACATTACATGGATAATAGTTCCTAAAAATTATGAACTGTTATCAGGGATTTTTAAATTTTAATTGTACAGCTGTTAAATGTTTTTGACCAGATGATTTCCCCCCGCACCCTCCCATCCACCCTTGACTTATTTTCACTCCTTATTTATAAAAGTCCAGTGTTGAATATGGCACTCCTTCCTGTTAAAAATGCACGTCTACTGATCTGGAATAAAACAATAAATCCAGCAACTAACACCTAATTACCAGAAGCTCAAAGGTGGTAACTTAACTTCCTCTTGTCTCCAAAAATGATGAACACGGGGGTCATGGATGAGCTAACTAGAAAAAACAAACTGGTGCTAATTTTGTTTTGACTACCAGCTAAATATTGTGTGAGTCAGGCTGGAGAGCAGACGACGCTGTTTCTTTCTGGCTTGGACATTGAGGGACTATGATGTTTGAGGGGGTGGGGGTTTGGACGTGAATGGCTGGCGCAGTGTGAGCTCACCTGGGAGGAACGCTGACGAACCACAGGGTCCTCAGAGAATAAAGCCTCTTGGCTCTAGAATCAGACCTAATTTACCTACCGCTTTCTTCAGTATTCAGCCAAACTTGGAACATTCTGACTTGTTTACTCCAAGAGGTTACTTTAACTTTCATGTGTCAGGTGGACTTTATCAGAGTCACCCCATAACATGATGCATTTTAGTTTTAGAGAGGGAATAAATGGACGTCACCGCAGAAAATTCCTAGATTTGAATCTTTTTCTTTCGGTTTAATTTGACTCAGCAAATTTATTTCTTCTTTATACACTAAAAAGCAACTTTATTAGCTATAATGTTCCAAGTACTGGATTGTTTTTGTCTTTGAGGATTTTAAGTCCATACAGAAAAACACACGTGATGCAGATTTGTCATTGGTCTTTCATGGTGTAAATCAAAAACACTCTACTGGACCGCAATCAGGACATTAAGAGGGAAACTCATTGTCATGTGTAAATAGCAGTTCAAGAAAAAAAGCAGCAAGTTGATTTGTGCAACTGAACAGACGTACCTAATAAAGTGGACAGTACGTAAATGATGAAGTGCAATACAATCAAACAGGATCCTGGTTGTAGGGAACCGAATTGGTGAACATTACCAGGCCTTTACAGAGAGAGTACAGCGTCCTATAAAACTGCTTTTATACAGTACATAGTCCTAAATTCAGTTATGATAATTCTGTAAATAAGTAAACAAGTCTGCAACAGCCTAGGCCACACAGAGACTCTCCAAGTGATGGCATAGTGGCCAAATTGAATGACGCTGATTGTACAATAACTTCCAATTAGTAGAAACCATCTTTCCTCATGTATATACAGCCTGCAAGCAGAGTTTTTATCAAAATAACTGCCTGAAACAAACAGCTGGTTTCACAGACTGTGACCGTTTCTTATATCTAGTCTTTGATGGAGACATAGCCTTTAGAGGAGTCAAAATTGGTGCTGAAAGCTTCCTTAAGGAACCAAGAGAAGGTTACTGCACACTCAGGTAGAACTTGTCATTGAGAATGAAATAAAGATGTCTTCATCCTTTGGGCTTCAAATGATGGATTTCCCCCATCTGTCTCCTCTACAGACTATTTCCTACACTTCATGGACTTCAAGTGATGTAAACCTGCCAAAGGGACTTTTATTGTGAGAAGACACATGTGTCCTGCGCTTGGAGAGTCTCACGTTAATTTCTTCCTTTGCTTTTGTGAAGCTGCACATACTTGGAGCTGTGACTCACGGCTCAAAAAGTTGCCAGACACCAGTCACAAGCCATTGGGATGAAATGTTTTGAGTTAAACATTACCTCGCTCTCTTCAGGAGAAAAATAGCAGAGAGAGAGAGAGAGAGTGTGTGTGTGTGAGAGAGAGAGAGAGAGAGCGCCAGTCTGGCGTTGACAAGTTTTCTGTAATTTTTTTCTCTTTTGGCACTAAGATCTTTAATAGCTTGTAATCTCTCGCTCTGATCTGACTGTAATGCACCTCCACAAGGACTAAAGAGCAGAGTGAGAATCTGAGAAGCTAATAGTGAATGGAAGTTGATGATATGTGATACTGCAAGATGAATCTCCACTGCACATAACATGTAACACTGAATAAATTGACCAGAGTTCTGCATCTGTAAAAAAAAAAAAAAAAAAAAAACGACCAGTACTGATGATCTGTCTGAAGCCAGACACATTTCACCAAGTCTTATCTTTTTGTTTTCCATCAAGACTTCCTGTAACAGCTAGCCAGAGCGGAGGATTCGGGGGTAAGGAGGAGGTGGAGGGGTCAGTGCCGTCCCCTCAATTTGTACAGACACAATAAACCCAGAGAGTGGGGCTGTTTTTCATTAGGGCTTCAAAGTTCATATAAACCATGATTAATGAAGCCCTGAGATGCTGTATGTCTTTAATTATTCCAACTTGACTGCTGCACCAGTGTCTGAGATGCATCGGCCGCGTTGGCGATCTGTACACGTCGTCCCTTCTCATTCTGACATGGCAGCTTCGCCTTATTCTCTGAGAAACCCCCCTGCTCCAACAAATGTGAAGTATTGTGGGGAGGGGTGAGGGGTGAGATGGAAGAAACCTTTTTTTTTTTTGCAATGGTGCATACGTTTCTTTAATCACTGTACTCGCACACTTACAAATGAGTTTGGGCAGTGACAGATTGGTGAGCAGGCCCAGAATAATTACACGCAGTGGGCTGGTGTGCAGGATCAGAGCGTGGCATTGCGTTACCCACAGGGTTCTGTAAATAAAGTCCTCGTGCAATGAATGAGCAGATTGTTGAGTACAGTCTTAGCATCTCTCCTAAATAGATGTAGCTGCAATATGGAGATAGTTGCAATAAGAAAGTCTTTGCAGGCCAAGGATGTCCAAACACTTTTCATGGGGAGCAAAACCCTGAGGGCTGATTGGTTCTCAAATAATAGTTTTTAGACCAATGACAAGCGAAATTGGATAATTTTCCACAATACCACAACCTGTGTGTCTCTAAGGGCACACTAGTACTGTGGTCCAATCACAAGCTCAGATTTAATCAAACCAGGAGTTAATACATATAAAGGCAGAATCTAAATCTCTCATAGTTTTTTAGATCATCAATAAAATGTATTTGGTCTTCAATTCACACTTAAACAGCCACAGTCACACACTGTTGTCTTCAGAGCGGCAGCAATAAAACAGTGATTCGACTTGGGGATTATTGGATGTTGATTTGGGAAACTCTGGTACTTAATCATCCTCTGCTTCCAGTCAGTCCGTGGACAGAGCGTAGAACTTTTCTGTCTATTTCTATGAACGTGGGAGTGTGTGAAACACTGCATACAATTATCTTAGCGTCCCTGCTCATTTGCACCAACGTTGCGGGGTGTAGCTAAAAATAAATACTCAAAGAAAACAATGGAAACTTGTGTCTCCACGTACTGAACCATCATGGGGCGACTTCAAAGCTACATGTTGTCTTAACAACAGGACACAGGGACAAAATAAAAGGGTTCAGAGGAAGCTCATTTGTATAATCCTCATTTAGCGCAGTGGGTTTATGTTTCACAGTCATGGACAATCAGGGAACACTAACAAAATGGTGCTACCCATCCTGGCCCTCACACAGTCCCTCTCTCACAGATAGAAAACAGGAGCCATGTTTGTGTTGGGCACACTCCCACTGCATACAGGAATGATGGATTATGGGAGGTCCCTGTTTATTTATGCAATGCTGGGTAGAGACCGATGCGGCCACATACCTTGTGTGTGTGCATGTGTGTCTGTGTGTGTGTGTATGTATGTATGTCCGGCGAATACAATCAGCAGTAAAATAAGATTGCATATTATGAATGAGCAATGCATTCACACGCTAGCCACACAAAAGAAGGCAATCAACCTCTGTCCACACACACAAACGCACAGGCACGCGCACACACACAGAGGGGCTTGTCTTGATTAACCTGGCCGGGGGAACCCGACATGTTTTTCCTTTTACGTCATGGTCTGTTCCCTGAGTGGCTTAGTGGAAGCCATCAATTCTAGTTTGTCTGCAGTTTGTCTGTTTGAATTTTTGGCTAATCTGTATTATTCATTGATGTCCTGTTGGCCCAGCGCAGGAAGTGCTGAGTGAAAGACCGTGGTGGTGTTTCTTACCCGAGACATCATACATCATGCTTTCTCTTTCTTCATTTAAAAGAAAACAGCATCCCTTTCGTCAGACCACCTTCCTCCAAACCCCGGCCTTTACAGAGGCTTTTGGTTTTTAGAGATTCTGTGCTGAACAGAGGAGTTGAAAAAAAGAGTGGATTAATCTGCAGCCTACACACACTGCAGCTGATCAGCCCCTGACCGTTCTTGTTTCCCCCCGTATTATTCAGCCCACACGTAAATCTCCAGTGGAGAAAAAGATGCTATACCTGATTATAACAAGAGGTCAGGTCTTTGATGCTGCTCTGGTGAAATTTGTTATACGTTAAGCCAGTGCTAATGTGATTATGGACACTGATCCATTAAATCTACTGTAAAAATGAAGCCTGCGCTAGTTTTGAACTTGATACTGAGAAGAAACGTGAGCGGTACTGTGAAACATTAAAGACTCTTTGATGTAATATTTAACCCATCTGCAGTGAACAGGGGAGGGGGCTTCA